ACCAGATAACCACACAAACAAAGGTTTTAATAATTTATTATTATGGTAAGACATCCTGAATAAATATTGTTGTGAGCTTAAATAAATAAATAAATAAATATTTTAAAAATATATAAATATATAAATAAATATCACTGGTCCCTATTACTAGAAAATAGCCCTCACTTTTCCCCTCTACAGTGTTGGAGGGAGTCAACATTCTCAGAGATGATCTGTACTGCCCCCGCTGTGCTGTGACCCACCCTTGGTCCCTTCAAGGTAGAACTCCTGAATTCTTGGCTCATTCTGCAGGAGTAAGAGCAGCCGTCTGAGAAGTTGGATCCAGAGCTGGCCTAGGCCACCTCATTTCTGGATTGGCTCCCAGCAGTCGAAGGGGATGTCAAACAGAAAACCTCTAAGTTTTACTATGAAAGCTTCAAATGTGGTGAATTGTGTTGCACAGACTTCTTCCTGAAGGGGACAAGAAAAAAAAAAAATCACTTTAGTCCAGGAGTGTGAGTGACACAGGGAAGTAGCTGTGTATTTCTTTGTGCCGCTGAGAACTCAGAGACTAGAATCCCATTTGAAAGGATCAAGTGACACTACCACTGCCTGCGTGCTACCTAAGGTATGCCTAGATCTGTCAATGGCATCCAGGGACTGTGCACTAACAGAAGGCCTCTGGTCTTTAGATTAGTTGGGCTTTGGGCAGCCTCTTTGGTTCCAGGTGAGAGGCAAGCAGCCAACCTGAGGCATCTCCTCTCCTCTAAAAAGGCACAGGGCTCACTCTTCCATGAGGAAGGAAAAGGGGATGTTTGAAGTGTGCCAATTCTAGGAGCCCCATCCTTGTGTCCAGGCAATACAGGCACCCCACAGGGAAGTCTTGCCAGGAAGTGGTGCCTAGGAGCTGGGTCTTCTCCTGGACTTGGGAAGGCTCTGAGTTTCCTTGGGTTTGCCTCACCTCTGACCTCATGACTGATAATGGCATGCATAGCAAGGGCAGGTAGCTCCTTGTTGCTCAGCTTAGCCTCTAGGGATGAATGGGAGCCATGGCCTGTTCTTGGTGGTGGTGGGGGGGTCTGATACATCTAATAACACAGAAACAACTTGTTGGGACCCTGAACAGCTAGAGGTCACTCCTCACTAGCTCACCCTCCCAAACTAAGATATTCCTGCTCTGTGCCCTGGTGCTGTGCACTCACCGGGGTAGGGGGGCAATTCTTCTTGTAGTGGCTGGCCGTCATGTTCAAGGCACCCCCGAGTTTGGTGAAGTTGCCCTGTAGGCCCTTCTCGAATAACCTCAGGCGGGTCTGCACACATGTTGGACTCTGAAAAGCATCCATTCATTAATAAGCAAAGGCCAAGCCCTTGCAAAATGCAGGCTGCTCTCTCTTCACCCCTTTCTGTTCCCACTAAGTGGCACAGAAAGGGTCTAGTCACAACACTGTCTGATCACTGCCCTTCTCCCTGGCTAGCCCATGCTACCCTCAACTGGCACAGTCACATTTTGTAGACTGTTACTTCAAGAGGTCTGCAGTTCCAAGCCCTCCAGTTTTGCAAGCAAAGGCTGCTTGCTACCATTCTAGGAGAAGGGATCGGATAGTGTGGCGGAAAGTGTGGGGAAATCCCCCAAACCTCTTTATGGGCAAGCATTGTTCCAGAAATCCCTCTGTGTGCCTCTATAGTCAATATCCTCTCTCCATGGTCACAAGGCACAGTGAAGACTCCAAGGCAACAAGACCATCTCATAAAGTGACTCTCACTTTCCCATCATCCCCTGCAGATCCCTGACCTTTGAATGTTAGCTCTGCCCAAACTTATTGCTCAGTTGATAAAAGAATGCACATGACTGCCTCAGAGGCATGGCTATGGACAATAAAAGAGTGCACGTGACTGCCACAGAGTAATGGCTATGGACATCTTGACTACCCAGACTCTGCCCTCTCCCCCTAGCAGTCAGCAGACAGGGAAGAGTTAAGACAACCTTGCAAGGGGCTATTTAAAACAGCCCTGCAGGGACCCCGGGACGCTCCACCAGAGAGAAGCAGCTTACCTTGACGGAGAACTCTGTAGAGACCATTTCTACTTCTACATCTTCATTCTGTAAAAGGAACGTGCCATGTTACCAAACTGACAGGCAGGGCCAGACATGGGCCAGCAGGTAGCTTAGAAACAGCCAAACTCTCTCCCTTACTCACCTCCATGACAGGGTTGTTAATCAGGAAGCTCAGGACTTCTTTAATGGCATCTACATGCCTCCAAGGCCGGGTAACAAGGGCAGGTGAGGGAGTGGGTGTAGAAAAGCTACAGACCACAATGCCAAGGAAAAGTAAGATCTGCAGCCACATCCTCCTCGGGACCTTAGCCTTTCTCTCTGAGTACTGGGCTCACTGCAAAAGAGCTCTTATATACACAGTTAGAGGAAATGATTAATGGTGACCACAGAACTCCAGGGGGGCGGGGGAACTACCTGAGTTGTGGAATCTCCTGGCCCTTATCAGCTATACATGGGGCCAGTGAGCCTTCCCCCAGGTTGTCAGGCTTGGGGGTTTTCATTAATGAGCCTTTCCAAGAACTGGCAGCCCACCTGCCCGCTTCCTTGAGGGCCTCTCCTGCCCTGCCTGGG